GCTTTCGTAGGGAATGATTTTCGTGTGAAAGTTTGGTACTAATCCCTCTAGGATTTTCCAGGTGTATATTATCATGCATCTTTCTCGCCTGCGTTCCAGGGGAACACAAATCAAGGGTCTTCAAACGTTCCCTGTAATTTAGGTGTTTCATTGTACTTATGGATGCCATGAAAGCTCTTTGTACACTCTCCAGGTCAGCAATTTCGCCTGCCTTGAAGGGGGGCAGTTAGTGTACAGCAGTATTCCAACCTAGAGAGAACAAGCGATTTGAAGAGAATCATGGGCTGTTTTTTCCTAGTTTTGAAGGTTCTCATTATCAAGTCGAGTTAACATGCAGTATCATGGTGTCAAAGTATATGCAGGCGATTTTTCCATAAACATTTTTAATCTCTATGCCCCAGCGAACCAGCTTCGACCTGATGCTTTACCAGATCGCATCAATAGTGAACCTACCATCATTCTTGGAGATTTTTCATGCCAGACATAAGAATATTGGTGGGTCTATTACAAACACCAATGGAACTAAACTAGTGAGATTGCTGAATGAGCATGATAATGTTCGAATTGCGGGCACTACTGAGCCTACTCACATATATGGTGGCATACTAGATCTGTGTCTTGGATTTAATACATCATATACGATGCATGACTCTGTCATAGTTGATGATCTTCTATCTGATCACTTCCCAAGACTAACAACTGTCAATCTTGATCACATCTCCAGCAATCAAGGAGCTAAATACAGAAGGAGGAAACTTATTCTCAAACCAGAACACAGAGACAACTTTATTAACCACTTGGATCAATGGTATAAGAAATACGAGCCCACTGGCACACAAAAATTTAATGATGATTTAATTACCACTATTGAGAGTGTTCTCACAGATCAAGTGGGCAGGAATAGGAAACAAAGACCCTCCACTATAAATAACAATAAAAACCAATGTAAATACTATAATGATCCACAGCTGCGCAATCTAACACATGCAGCTAGGAGGATTGGTAAAGCATACGGTGAATGTAGAACCCCAGACCTGCTCAGAACGTTCCAAGCTGCACTAACAAATGCAAGGAATAGAAAGGAAGAACTTAGGCAACAGGAATGGGAACAGTTTGTTAGTGGATTAAATAGGTCCACCCCTTTGAGTTTGGCTTGGAAAGGTATAAATAAAATAACCAGGAAAAAGACTGGCAATGTTGCTCATCCCTTTCCTCTTGAAAAAGCAAATGACCTCATAAATGACTGGTCCAAAACATCCAGGCATGAAAGCCTTCCATCTCATATTAGAAAAAAATTACAGAGTACTTCTGAAGAAATGTTGAAACTGATTAATTTTATGAGCCAAAATATTGATGAGAGTGATTGCCTCTTTACCGAGTATGAATTAGATAATGCATTAACCAAAGGTCGATCAACTGCTCCTGGAGAGGATGGTATAACCTATGATATTCTCAGAACTCTAAGGCACGTGCCTGATAACCCTTTGTTGGCACTGTATAATCTCAGTTACATTGAGGGCGTTCTTCCTACTTCCTGGACCAATAGTCTCATTGTGCCATTTAATATTCTGATTAATGCTCTCCTAAATGCTCTACCTGCCTCACCTAAACATATAGCTATAAGCTATGCTGATGATATCATGATCCATACAACAGGGCATAAGAAGATGAATACCATTCTTAATGAAGTTCAAGCAATTTGTAATCGACTAGGCCTCATAATATCTTCCTCTAAAACAAAGATATTAACAAGCAAACGACATCCCCCACCCATCTATTTGCAGGGTGAAATCATTAGCTACGTTAAAACTTACAGATATCTTGGTGTAGATGTACCCTTTAACAAATCCACTATACCACAACTAAACAAGAAATGTAAAGCTAGGCTAAATGCTCTCAAAGCTGTTGCTGGCTACAATCCCAACTATGGTGCTAATGTGAGAATCGTGAGAATGATGTACATAGCCTATGTTAGGTCCTTAATTGATTATGCTGCTCCCATGTTGATATTAGCTAGAGAAAGTTCCCTCCGACCCTTGGAGTTAATGCAAAATGAAGCTCTCAGGACTATTCTTGGCTGTCCCAGATCTACAAAAGTTCTTAACATGAGGAAGGAGCTTGGTATTTCTAGTATCAGTGATAGGATTGTTGAAATTAACACTGTACTCGGTATTAGAATGTTGAGAAACGAACCAGACACTGTCACAGTGAATCTTACCAAGTGTCTAGAGGTAAATACACACAGATCTAAATGGATTGTGAAAACGTGCAATTGCATTAAGTTTTATAACCTGCATGAACTGTATCACTGTAGGCAACAAGAGCATTTCACCCCTCCATGGAAGATGTGTTCATTTAATATCACATACCTACAAGTCCCTCCCAAGAAGCTCATTGCTAGTAATCCCTTCCTTAAATCTCTTGTTAGAGCAACTGCTCAAGAAGAAATTTTTCGCCTAGCTGGTAGTAATAAGTTATCACAAGTTATATACACTGATGGATCTAAACAGGAGTCTTCTGGCAGGGCTGCATCTGCTCTTGTTGCCACCTCCCTAGTTAAGAACGTTAATAAATTTGTTGAGTTAGGCATAAGAATTAACAACTGGGCGTCTACACTGCAAACTGAATTGTTTGCAATCCTAATGGCGCTAAAGCTAACCTATGACACTGAGCTTGACTATCATCATTACTGATTCTATGTCATCATTGAAGGCTCTTGGCTCATATAATGACTCCAACAACATGCTCATTGGGGAAGCCAGGTATAGATACTCAAAAATTAGGGGCAAAGGAATTAATGTACAATTGCTATGGATCCCATCACACATTGGATTACTCCTTCATGATAAAGTTGATATGTTAGCCAAGAAGAGTATCCAGAAGGAGAACGTAGAATATAACTTTGGTATAACTGTGTCTAGCATTAGGAATAATATTAGGAGAAAAGTAAATAATGAAGATGATTGTTATAGGAATGCAGTTAGAAGCCTGAGTAGATCTATAACCCACTATGATAACATGAACGTAGATAAGTATGTTTATGGAGCAACTTGCAATGTGAACAGACTGACTGATGTTGTAGTGGCCAGGCTTAGGCTTGGTTACATGTACTTCTGGCAGTTTGGGAGACACACAGATGATGATCAAACTAAATGTAAATTATGTGATCAGGCATATGGTCACTCTCTTGAACACTATGTGCTTAATTGTCCACTTATTGAGGAATACAGAGACAGACAGTATAATAACCTATGTGACATGTCAAGATATCTTATTAATGAAAATAAGATACCAGATATACTAAGCAAATTTCCTAAATTTGCTTGTAACAGATAAGTGAACTATAGATATGTAGATATAAATCAATATGTATTCCTGTTAACCCTTTGGGGCCTAGTTCCTAGGCCTTTTGTGTATCCACATGCTCTCGCGCTACCGTCCACAGGATGGATATGGGGTGCACAATAAACTAGCCACTTCGGTGGCAAAATCTAAAATTTAAAATCATTATCATTTTTCTAGCAGATGAGGTAGATACATTGTTGTGGTCTATGAAGGTGAGATCCTCTGATATTATCACTCCCAGATCTTTCACATTAGTTTTTCGCTCTATTGTATGGTTAGAATTTATTTTATGCTCTGATAAAGATTTAATTTCCATAAGTTTCCCAAATCTGAGTAGTTGAAATTTCTCTTCATTGAACTTCATATTGTTTTCTGCGGCCCATTTAAAGATTTGGTTGATGTCAGCCTGGAGTCTTGCGGTGTCTTCAATCGAGGACACTGTCAAATCAATTCGAGTGTCATCCGGAACATAAAACACGGAGCTATGGCTTACATCTCTGTCGATGTCAGATATGATTATGAGGAACAGGATGGGAGCGAGTACTGTGCCTTGTGGAACATAGATTTTCACCGTAGCTGCCTCGGACTTTACTGTGTTTGCTATTACATTTTGTGTTCTAGTTGTTAAGAAGCTATAGATTCATCTACCAACTCTGTGCGCCCTTAAACCATGGTCGCGCTTGTCGAAGGTTTTCGCAAAGTCTGTGTATACTAAATCTGCATTTTGTTTATCCTCTATAGCATTCAGGACCTTGTCATAGTGGTCCAGTAGCTGGGACAGACAGGAGCGACCTGCTCTAAACCCGTGTTGCCCTGGGTTGTGTAAGTGATGGGTATCTAGGTGGTTGGCGATCTTGCTTCTTAGAACCCTTTCAAAGATTTTTATATGGGATGTTAGCACTGTCTGTAGTTCTTTGCAATTGCTTAACTGTCACCTTTGTAGAGTGGGGTCATGTCTATTGTTTTTAGTGAGTGTGGGATGACTCCTGTGTCCATGCTCCCTGCTGATGCTTATAAAAATTCTCATTACATTAAGTAATTCTATTGACCGTTTTTTATGTGCGTGCACATACACGAGTCCGCATGTTTTCATAAGTATACATGTGTGTGTGAACATTTACTTGATCATTCTCTCGCTGGTTGATGCTTACCGCATGAGTTGTGTGCCCAACAACATTACACAAAAATGTCTAATATATGTTGTTTAAGTTTACCACCTTCGTCAAGGTCGCTAATGAAGAAAGAAAAAAAACTTCACTTTAGTTTTCTGTTCTAGTGTCAGATAAGCCTTTGTTAATAAAATTTCTAACTTTTAATACTGTGTATGAGAAACATACAAATTATTTCCAACTTGTGGTATTTCCGTGTGTCAGCTACCGTCTGTGGCCTCAATTTGTTTATTATATTGACAATATATCGATCGGAAGGTATATTTCTTTTAGCGAATATATTCTAAGATCTTACTTTAATCCCTATTTTATGGATTAAAGTATTCTCTGGTGGTGAGGAGTTTACGTGCAGCCTAAATCGCCCTAGTGTAGTCGATAGGCTTTAAACCCCTAAATTAGCCAAGCTGTTGTGTTACGTTTTCATTTACATAAGTCAGAGTTCTGTGGTATGTTAGATACTTCTAAGGTGTGTCATTTCTGTGGCAGATGCGTCTGAGTGGCCGGACGAACTCCGAGGGGCGCCGCCAATACAGTACTCCACCTTGAGCGGCCCTGCCTTCCTTAACACCTCCACCACAACCGTCAGCGTAGTTGCAGGAGCCACAGCACTGCTCTCCTGCGGCGTCAGAAACCTACATAACTATACGGTAAGGGTCAGCAGGGAATTGTGGGAGTTTGAGAGTGTGGCCTGAGCCATTACATTAGTGCAGTAGAGAAGAGGAATGCGTTAGTTAATGAATGACGTAGAGTGACTGAATGAGCATGTGAGTGTCAAAAGTTAAGCTCTTATCGATCTGTATTTGCAGTGGTCAAGTCTCAGTTTTTTACTCGTGTCTGTAGTGTCAGTTCTTGTTTTTTCCTTACAAACAAAACACCGCTCTGTGTCCATAAGTACAGTGTGCCTTCCTATGTGTTTTCTAAGATTGTCCTGCTTGAATGACACATTGCTCAAGACTTCCTCACAAATAACGCATTGTGGTTCAAGTTCGTCACGCTGAGTGATGTGCCAGGTACCAAGATTAAGATATTCCTTCATGTGCTGCCTTGTAGCCGGAATTTCAAAGTATGATATAACCAACAAGAAAAAGAGTACAAAAGCAATTACCGAATACTATTCATTGAATATCACCGGAAGTATTAGTAGTAGTGGTGGTAGTGGTAGTGGTAGTAGTAGTAGTAATAGTAGTAGTAGTAATAGTAGTAATAGTAATAGTAGTAGTAGTAGTAATAGTAGTAGTAGCAATAGTAGTAGTAGTACTAGTAATAGTAGTAGTATAGTAGTATTAGTAATAGTAGTAATAGTAGTAGTAATAGTAGTAGTAGTAGTAGTAAAAGTAGTAGTAGTAGTAGTAGTAGTAGTAGTAGTAATAGTAGTAGTAATAGTAATAGTAATAGCAGTAATAGTAGTAGTAATAGTATTTGTAGTAGTAGTAGTAGTAATATTTGTAATAGTAGTAGTAGTAGTAGTAGTAGTAGTAGTAGTAGTAATAATAATAATAATGATGATTTCAATAAGGAAGCTACCGCTGCCTTCCTTATTTACAGTATCAGCAGCGGCCATCTTGGAACTGACTCACTTTTAGCCCACTTCAGGTGATCAGATTTTAGCAAAGGGTTTTTATGTTGTTCGCTACACCCAGTATGGCTAAAAACTGTTAACGAACATTTTGATAGAATGTTTTGTGGGTCTGATGGTATATTGATCCATCCATCTGACCCATGTATTGAGTTGCCTGTGTGTCGAGCTCTCCACAGATGGTGAGAAATAAGCATATGTTGCACTAAGATACAAAAATGAACACAGTAAATAAAAGGTAACAATACGCACATTTCTGGTAGTACATAAATATATTTCAATCCTAAAATGATGAATTAATACATTTCAGAAGACAGTTCGAGTTATTTTTAACTGAAAACATGAAGTTTGAAAACAAATTCTAAATATGAACTAGTAAAATTTTTCTAAGGGAAATGAGCAATGGAAGAAAATTGTACTGTGAAAAAAATCAAGTGTTTGAATAATAAGGCATCATATGTTACGAGGTTAGTAGTTCCCATGTGTAGAATATCAAGGTTCGAACTAATAGTGAATGAGATTTACCAGTTGTCTCCATGGAGTTGATGGTTGTTAGGGATACTGGTGAAGAGGAAGCTTCTGTCATAAATTACAGGAACTAAAGGCACTAGAAGTGTTTTTGTGCCCTCCGAAAAAGGTATTCCTTACATCCAATAGTTCTTGTGACTTTTGCCTCAATGTACACACAAGGAACAGTATAGGGTGGCATATATTATTAACATTTGTCAAAGATAGAATGGGAAAGAGAACAACATAAATGGCATCTCAGGGCCTGCATCTCAAATACTTCATCCAACTCTCGAGTGGTTTGCCGTGTGCCCAGAATGCTGTTGTCATTTCCTCTCTGCATCGCAAGACTGAGTCTCTGAAAGAGGAAGCTGGCTGCTCTGTGTCCTTTTTCTGATGAGTTTTTACCTAACTCTTTCAGGAATTTTAGAGCACACTTGCCCCATGCTCCGAGCGTTTCCAACCCTACCGGGACGAACTTATAGCTTGGTGGCAGCCCTGTGTATTTGTTAATCTTCTGGGTCTCCCTGAAACCGGCGGCGCCACTCCCTTTGGCTTCAGAGTATGGTGAGTAGGTGTCAGCCAACCTAGAAACACAAGTGTAGTCCCATGCAGTCTGCTTACCAACCGTCAGACCTCACTACCTGTCTCAGGTTCCCGTTCTACTGGTCAACGCTGTGGCGAGACTTCGTTTGATGATGTCGTTGACCTTACGTCTGGCATACTTCTCTTCTGACGTATGATAGACGAGAACATGTAGTCCAAATTGATCAGCAGATGCCCTACCGCAAATGTACCTATGTTCGATGAGTATGGGAGCCTGGCGAAGAACTACACGAATCCGAATGACCTGCGGGTCGAGTCGAGTGCAAAAGAAGGAATTTAGGAACAACTAATCGTCTGAATGTGGTGCCTTCACCACTAGGAGACGAGCTGTGTCCGTTTCTTTGTTGAGCAGTGTGTTCGCGATTTTCTCCACGATCCGCTTATCCTTGTTGGACTGTTTATGCTCTTTGGGCTTAGCTGGTCTGCTTGAAGAGTCTGCGAGACTGTCCCACTGCGTGGCTACTTCGATGAACTTTGGGTCGTGATCTCCAACAACACCTCTCAATCATTCGGGGACAATCTCTTTAGCTAGTTCTCTGGAAGCCATGAACGAGGACGGAAATGCAGGTAAAGCTACCTGCGTTGCTTTACACACCTCTATACCTCCCAGTTCCACTGGAAGAGTTGCTTGATCCCATTGGTGATCTTCCAGTGACAGATTCAGTGCTTTCCTAAACATAAATCTCAGGAGTGCGTCATTTCAATTAATGTTGGGTTGTCGAAGGAGAGTGCAGACCTCAAGAAGTAGGCTAGTCTTAAGAACATAAAGAAGTAACACTACAACAGGCTTACTGGCCTATGAGAGGCAGGTCCAGTTCTCCCACCGGCTTAAGCCAATGCCTTGACCTAGTGAGGTCAGACACGTCACTTAAGGGAGGAGCACGGCATCCGACCTAGTAGCACAAGCTAGTCAGGTCTAACCCACACCCACCCACACCCACTCATGTATTTATCCAACCTAATTTTAAAACTACACAACGTCTTAGCTTCTATGACGGTACTCGAGAGTTTGTTCCACTCATCCACAACTCTGTTACCAAACCAGTGCTTTCCTATATCTTTCCTGATTCTGAATTTTTCCAATTTAAAACCATTGCTGCGGGTTCTATGTTAGATATTTTTAGCACGCTATTTACATCCCTTTTATTAATTCCTGTTTTCCATTTATACACCTCAATCATATTCCGCCTACTTCTACGCCTTTCTGTAGAGTACAGATTCAGAGCCCTTAGTCTAAAAGGCATCTGCCAAACCGAATAGTCCCACGAACCTTTCCCTCGTAGTAGTTAACCAACACTTAAAAAGATTGACGAATTAGACACATGTGCAACATTTGGGTATCTTTACTGAGGAAACACTTCGCCATACAGTGGCTTCATCAGTCCTAAACAAAGAAGAATGGTAATTTGTCTATCAACCTTTTCAAGATTTAAAAAGAAAAACGGAAGTTTTTCTTTTTAAAATTTAGTAATTTATTCAAGAGAAACGGTTACTAACCCCTTGCTCCTTGTATTTTAGTCGCCTCTTACGATACGCATGGCTTACGAAGAAAGAATTCTGTTCCACTCCCCAGTTTGCTCATTATATTTTAGAAAGATAATGAGCAAATTGGTAACTACACACGCCAGTAAACTTCTAGCTTTCTTCTGCATAGGATAAATCAATGTTCAATGCATGAAACAAGTAACAGAGAACACCTGCAAGTGCTAGTAGGTGCATGAACCTCTCCCCTAGTTACAGTACACTAACATTGAAAATTTAACCTTGGAGGAAGGGAAAAAATATAAAATCACGCACTCAAATAAAGGTACCCATTCTAGGATACTAATTCCGGATGCAGAGGAAAACCGCTGGAAATTTCTAGTCAAAAATGTTGGTTTTCTCCTTAGGTAAATGTGACCGATTACGAGATTATTATTAGCCGTACTGTAGAGTGGGACGCATGTAAAGGTTTATTTACAAAGGGCTACAACCGTTGTTTTTCTTAAAAAAATAAATTTAATATCAACTTGCTAGTTTTGCGATCAGTTCACTCTCATAATACAGGAATCTTGATCCAATCAAAGTCTATCTTCCACATTCCTCAAGCCGTATCTATAATTTGTTTAGTGTCGTCGGCCGTAAGTCAGCAAATCTAGAGAAAAGAGTAAATATTCCAATATTCAGCAGAGTTCGTAGTTAGGCTAGCACTCTGTAGATAGAATTGCATTCCTTGGTAGAAACCACTCGAATCACACCTCGTTAAAGTGAGCCAGTGTCAGTGGGACAAGTGAAGATTGTTGAAATATTCGTGAGGACAGAGCCCCGACACGGGTCTCAATCTCTTGACGACCCGTTGGTCGTCGAAAGGGGAAGATGGGGTAGTCACTGTTCATATGACGGGCTACTGTAACAATACAGTGTCATTATAGCCTACCCATCCTCGCAACTTCTTGTGGATTTCTCACATACGATTTTCAAAAATTTCTCCGATTTACGTTATTCAAGATAGTTTATGCTAGGTTAGATTGATTAGGTTAGTTTGTGATTTATTAATTAAAATTAATCAATTATGACATACCTAAATTCCAATGTCATAGATTGCAGGTAAAAAAAAATACGGTAAAACATTGGCTGATACCCGTTCACTGTTTTATTTCGCCTGCATTACACTATCATTTATCGTCGTTATCGAATGTTTTACTTGGTTTATTTTCATTGTTAAACAGTAACTTAACTAACCAAACTCAAATCGAAATTCCATATTAAGAAATGGCTACAATTTCTATGTGCCAAAACTGACTGTTATTAAATGTTTGTAATTACGAGTGCTGCTTGGGACAGGCTGTTATAGACCACTGCAGCAGCGACCACAAAGTATTTTAAAATACAAGGCCAACATATCTTGCGTCTCAGTCGATGTACCCAAACCGAAACACTTTGTTATACAAACACAAGAGTAGAGAGGATGATAGTATT